AGCCCCTGCTCTTTCCAGAGTTTACATCAGTGCCCTTTCGTCAGTGCTTCAGTGCCTATTGGTTGTTCTTTTTACCTCTTGTTTGCTAATTTACTTTGTTATTCATCTTATCCTCTTTCGTAGTATAAGGTATATAAGGTAGCGAACATTCCCTCTATTTTTATCTTTCTCTATTAGGGGGACCTAGCGACTCACGCATTGCCAGAGATAACATTCTTCGCTTTGCATTTACGGTTGGTCCTTGAGGTTTTTGCTCTATCGCAGAAGGCAACTGCGTCTGTTAGTGATACTTCTATTGGCATGTATAGTGGAAAGAGGGAGTTTCGGGCAGCTATATGTAGTCATCATATCTCAATCTTGGCGTATGCACACGCGATCTCGGTGTTTTAAATGCGAAGCAGCTCTTTTACCGATGCCACCTAGATAATTTCAGGCCTGCTCGCTGTGTCTGTCGCAGGCTCCAACGTCACTCTGCTTAGACTGGTGTGTATCGCTGCACAAACGTGCTTACGCTTGCTTTCGTCGCTCGACAGACATGGATTGCCTAGCCCGACGAACGTTTTCGGGGAGACCATCTTTTCCTGTGTCGGTGAACGGCAGCGTAGATATGTCATGCATTTTGTGCACTGGATATTCGCAATCTGTACGGCTGAAAATCCGCGATGTTGTGTGGTGAATTGTCGCGGCAAAGGGACCGAAGTTGCGAGTGTTCTCTTTTGCTAAGAACAACCGAAGAACGAAATGTGAGCGTGTCGTTCGTCAAGATGACATCCGTGTTCTTCATGACCCGAAGGTATGTCTGTCCGTATGACATATTTTTAAGTCGTTTCAAATTGCCCCATCTCTACCACGTTAGCTCTTGCCCTGAAATAAGTTTTCATGTGTGCTTCCGACTTGTTAGCGTAAACCCTGGCATCAAAATAATAAACGTGCGTGGCAGTACATTGTCAGAACAGGCGATTTTCCTTCAGGGTCGGTAAACATTTTGCTGTTGGCAATTAGCGCCGCAGACTTCTTGTATTACCTCTGTTCACTTGGTTGAGAAAAATAGAAGGAATGCTGTTGCATTACTTAGTGCATCGGTTTTGTGCATAGTATTTTCTTGCCGGTGTCCTTACAACTTTATTGCGCATTGTAATTTTGCACCAGTCTCGTCAGCACCTTAGAGTAACATGTTTTCTTGAAATTTAGATGCTTGTAGACACTTAGGGTAAAGTGCTTCTTAATTGGTGTTCAGGTATGTGAGCTCTACTTGAAGCTATAATATTTAAGAACCACTACCAAAATATACTGATCCAAGAACCGGTAGTGCAGCAGAAGCACCTATGGGGGCTACATGGTTTATTATAGACACAGTACTAGCATTTTTCCTAGGCACTAAGCTTTATGACCGACTACGCACCGCTGCGAGAGGGGCCAGAGCAAAAGAAGAAACGCCGCTCTTTGTGTCGGTTACAAGAGATTTTTGTGAAACGAAAGATTTTGTTTTTTTCTTGCAATGATCATCACCGTGATATTGAGCTCTATAACACACTTGTGGCAGCAGCACACACTATCCTCCGTAACTACGTGTCTGTCAAAATAGATGTTCTAAATAGTACAAGTGAACTGCAGAAACTTTGAAATAAGTGGGAACAGCTTCTCTGCGTGCTCAATATAGTGTGTGCATGTGTGTGTAAATAAAAAATGAATAAAACTTACCTTATTTATTTCGTCACTTTGATGGTTCATCAAATTTTGCTCTTGTATATCGACCACACGTTCGATAGCGCACAATCTTTTTCGTGGAAGAAATGGCTCACAGGCGAAATTCTAAATGCTTTCAAGTGCACTACATTACTTAAACCAGCGCCTTTTGGTTACCCAAAAGGCAGAATAAAGCTGTTAAGCATGTAAAACTCACCACGAACGCTTTATTTCTTAACGTGAGACGATAGTGGCAATAGATTCACAGCCTCCCGTACAAGCGCAAACTCGGACAAAGCGAGTGGCGTAACAGCAGCAGTGAGCAGGCCTGATAATATTTCTTCCAGGTCGCATTGCTTTGAATCGTGTGTGTAACGCCATACGTACGTGCGTCCGCACGAACGCGACACAACAAGTTCCCTTCGCCGCAGGTGTTGGAGCGGGGCCAAGTAGATCACGCCTACCGTGGTCATGCCGCAGCTACCCGTTGACGTCGCGCTCCCCTCGCAAGCTTCCCTCGCAGGTGCGCGCTGAGGTCACCCCCTCACCCGCAACACGCTCGCCGCAGCGCCCGCAGCTGCCGGCTCCTGCGCCCGCTCGCAACACACTTCTCTCTCGCATCGCCGTCTCCAGTGCCCGCAGCGCTCGACCACACATTGAGTGGGAACACTATTTGGGCTCGTTTGTCTGCGATGAAAGTTACATGAAACTCAACCCGCATCTCGTGTCTTTGCGTTTCAAACAAACGTTTAGTCGAGTAAACGCTACACCAAGTTCCGCTTTAAACCGTTCTTACAGCAGCCGTGTCGACGCTCGTTTCAACCAGGTCAACGCCATGCGCACCGCTGCTGCTTTGCATCCCATCAGGGTTCCCTTCTGGGCGATGGTTCATAATTGTTTATTTCCTATTTAATCAATGAGAGTGCCGGTGTGGCTTGAGGAGGGCAAGGGCCACTTTTGCCTTTCCGGCCGACGCCTTAGGTCTTGGACAAGGAACGCCACCCACCTTAAGAGACTCTGCCGTAGCATCGCTCTATTAAATAATGTTTATTGCTTCTCCTCTGTCTGCCAGCAGTGAGCCTTCTTCACATTCTGACATCACACTTGACAGTTTCTCGAATTCAATGTTTCTTCATAAGTCTCGTTTATATCGTTAGTCTTCATAGTGGCCAGCTTGAAACACTTGCAGAAAGCCCCGCCGTGGTGGTCTAGTAGCTAAGGGCTGCTGACCCGTAGGTAACGGGATCGAATCCCGGCTGCGGCGGCTGCATTTCCGATGGAGGCGGAAATGTTGTAGGCCCATGTGCTCAGTTTTGGGCGCACGTTAAAGAACCCCAGGTGGTCTAAATTTCTGGAGCCCTCCACTACGGTGTCTTTCATAATTATATGGAGGTTTTGGGACGTTAAACTCCAGATATCAATCTATCAACAGTTACAGAAAAAGAAAGATGGCAAAAAAAAAAACAGTGGGAGCCAAGCTGCGGTGGCTGCGATTCCGATGGAGGCGAAAACGTTGTAGGCCCCCCGTGTGCTCAGATTTGGGCGTACGTTAAAGAACCCCAGGTGGTCGAAATTTCCGGAGCCTTCCAATACGGCGTCTCTCAAAAACATACGGTGGGTTCGGGGTGTTAAACTCCACATATAAATAAATCAAAGAACAGTGGGAGAAGAAAAACGTAAAAACATAAAAGGTAAATTTAGAGAGTCAAGGCTGCAGCAACATAACACAACGAAAAAAAAGTTGAACTGCGGTAAGCACAAATGCTAGCGTAATGTTGGACGAGACGAAGAAGGCGCTTTATACTATGAAGACAAAACAAGATGAAAAAGAAGAAATAAAGAGAGGACTGGTTCCACTTGGTGCTTTCTTGAAATGAAACTAAATTGATTTCCCGATGTCAACACCAAGTATTCGTCAAGATTGGTTCAAGCTGCTTGGACTCTAATTAGCATAGCGGGAATTATTGACATTTCATTAGGAATGCCTGAAGCACTTCGTCTTTCCGTCATGATGCTTTACGACTTCGGGGAATTTGCAAACAACAAAGCCGTTGCTTGAGTTCAGTCGATAGGAAAGTTACGACACAGAAAAAAAAATTACCAGATATTCGAAGGAAGTTCCTTTTGAATGCAGGGGATATGAAAATAGACCTAAAATGCATCAGCAGACCAAAAGCTTGCATCCGATTATATGAAACACTGCACATGAAGTTAATAACTTTAGTGCAAGACATCGACCAATCTTAAATAACGAAATTGTTAAATTGATCAGCGAGAAGAAAAAAAAAGCGCCAGAGATGAAATATTCTAATTGAAGAGAGAACAGGATTGATATCGATAAAGGTTTTGTTCATAAGCGCTACTGACCATTAGATGAATGTTTTCATTGTATGTCCAACGCAATGGCTGTACACACTCTAACACTAAGAACTGCTACAGATAGCTGTAAAATTTATTTTTCATACGTATTCAGGAAGCTGTCTATATCTAAGTGGTGTTCGTTATTATAGTTAAAAAGAATGGCGAATCGGACAACTTGGTAACTATTCATCATTTTAGCGTAAAATTAAAAAAAAAGACAGCCGGAAACCAAAGTAATACCAAGTGCCCACTTTGTATTATTTATTCGACGTTTTAGGGGTGAAGCTCCTCTTAGTCTAACCTTGTCTTGCACCAGGCGTAACCGAGAGAAGAGACCAGAAAAAAAAAAGACAGTATCTCCCGAACAGTATAATAGACGGCGCTGTCTCAAAGAGGGGGATACAAACTGCATTTCAGTGAGGATATTCTAGATGGAGCTGTACTACTACTCTCCATTTGGCTGCTGCGCGGTTTGCGCCTATAGATTCTGGATCGTCGCCGTACGTGGCGCATCATTGGTGGGGCATGGACGAAGCGAAGTGGAGGCCTCGGCACCTCATGCTCGTCGCCAGACAGACACAAACACAGACAGGTGAACGTAGACACGGACGGACGCATGAACGCATGCACTAATGGAGGAACGGACGGACAGACACATGCATGGACGACGGACGGACGGGTGCACTGTCGCACAGTCGGACAGACAGACGAACGGACAGATAGACGGACACACAGACAGACAGAGAGACTTACAAACACAGACAGACGGACAGACAGAGAGGCATACAGACATATAGACGGATGGACCGACGGACGAATGGACAGACGCTTCGCCCCACTCATCATCATTCACTCCGTGAATATGCTGTGACTTTTTTTTCTTGAATGTACGACATCGCAGTCAGCTTACGGCACCTGTGACGAACATTTGTGGTAGGAGTTTTCTGACTGACCACGTCGAGAAGCTGCAGCAGGGACAGGTCCAGGTCCACGCGCAGTGACAATGATGAGTTGAAGGAAGGCCGCACCGCCGGGTCGTAGTTGGACATGAGATAGCGCGTCAGCCGGTACTCCTGTTCGTCCGCCCGACTGACGCTGCAACCTGCGCAAGAAAGTGGGAAAAATACGAATGAGAAGACGTGAAGAATCTATCTATCTATCTATCTATCTATCTATCTATCTATCTATCTATCTATCTATCTATCTATCTATCTATCTATCTATCTATCTATCTATCTATCTATCTATCTATCTATCTATCTATCTATCTATCTATCTATCTATCTATCTATCTATCTATCTATCTATCTATCTATCTATCTATCTATCTATCTATCTATCTGTCTGTCTGTCTGTCTGTCTGTCTGTCTGTCTGTCTGTCTGTCTGTCTGTCTGTCTGTCTGTCTGTCTGTCTGTCTGTCTGTCTGTCTATATCTATCTATCTATCTATCTATCTATCTATCTATCTATCTATCTATCTATCTATCTATCTATCTATCTATCTATCTATCTATCTATCTATCTATCTATCTATCTATCTATCTATCTATCTATCTATCTATCTATCTATCTATCTATCTATCTGCTAGTCTGTCTGTCTGTCTGTCTGTCTGTCTGTCTGTCTGTCTGTCTGTCTGTCTGTCTGTCTGTCTGTCTGTCTATCTATCTATCTATCTATCTATCTATCTATCTATCTATCTATCTATCTATCTATCTATCTATCTATCTATCTATCTATCTATCTATCTATCTATCTATCTATCTATCTATCTATCTGTCTGTCTGTCTGTCTGTCTGTCTGTCTGTCTGTCTGTCTGTCTGTCTGTCTGTCTGTCTGTCTGTCTGTCTGTCTGTCTGTCTGTCTGTCTATCTGTCTATCTATCTATCTATCTATCTATCTATCTATCTATCTATCTATCTATCTATCTATCTATCTATCTATCTATCTATCTATCTATCTATCTATCTAAATACAGTGACAGACCTCTGGGAAGTCAGCCTAAATGATTACAGGCTTTACCCATCATGATTAATTGAAGTATTTTAGCTACAGAAAAATGCGTTGGAAAAAACATTATGTATGTGTTCTTTCGTTGCACCTGTGGAAGGTATTCATATTTAATGCATTTTTCTCATTGTACCTCTGATACCTTCCCATGTTGGTATTCTTAGGAATGAAGAGGCCGATTACCTCGCTTCAAGTTGTGCCCACAACGAGTGTGACTACCGAGAAATTCCATGCCTGTTTGACAACGCTCGTCTGCTGATCCGCTGACGTCTCCTAAAGTAGCACCGCGATCAGCATGTAGCGAGCGGATTGTTTTGTCCTCGTCTTTGTGGTCGTGATTTGCCTTGTCGTGACAGAGCCCTGTATATAAGCTAAGAGTTGGTTCTGCATCAGTGCGTGAACGATTGTATAGTCAAGGATGTGTGGACAGTTATGTTCGTCCCGTGACTTCTGTGAGACACTAGATTACGTAACTTTGTAGTGTCCCCCATTTGTTGCGCAGTGAGCACTGCACACGAAGAAATATGGTCATATTGGAATCGGGTGCACGACCTTGAACGAATGCCTGTTCCCAGCAGGATGTGCTAGTTGTCGTGACTAGGCCTATCGAGCCTTGCTGACTTTCTTAAAAAGCCAGTAAAGAGGATCCGATCTTTTTTTACATCGCCTAAAGAAGCGTGGCAGTTCGTAGAGTAGACCACGGTGATCACGTTTTCTGAATATTAGAGCACCACACGCTGCGCAGGGCTTCCATTCCGAAAAAGAATTCCTAGGCTCCATTCCTTCGCCTGACCAATGCTCCTGCAACGCGCAGTGACGCAAATACACCGATCAGTGACCTGACGCAGCAAGCAGCTTGTCGATTGGTCTGAACCGAACCCGACGACAGGAAACGCCTTCCTTTCCCTGTGAGGGAGAAGGGTTGCGAAGCCCGTGGCAATTTGAAACCAATGTCCCATCTCCTGCAACGCCCCTATTATAGAACGTATTCGCGAAATTAATGCGCCAGCATGGTCACAAAGCAAAAGTGCACATATTAACTGATAGCGTTAAAGAGCTTGTTTCGCGAAAATTATGCGTCGATGTCAGTGTCCTTGACAATTAGCGAAAATTATTTTATGCGAAACCAAAAAATATAGAGAACGGTGCAAATATAACAAATAAAAATTCCGGGTCAGAGTAGGGATCAAACCTGGGTCATTCGCGTGCCAAGCGCATGTTCTACCACTAGACCACGCGCCTGCTCGTGAATACGTTGAAAATAACTTCCTCTGCTCCGTAATCTAGTGAAAGTGCCGAATGCCTTACATGCACACGCGTCCTGTATACATGCCTCGCAATATAACATGTCACATTGCAGTAATAATGCGTCGTACAAGCGCCTACTGGGATCGGGCGTCAGAACATGTGATTATCATAACGACTTCATGGTGTCAAGCTGGTAACCCACTACAAAAGGCACACGCGCTACTGCCCCTATTCCCTTAAGGCCACGTATAGTAGCTGCATAGCAAATTCGAGGTTTCATGCACTAAGTGTTTGAAGTACGCACAAGGAATAGGATGTCGCTATCGCGCTCAACTCCTGAAGGCGAAGCTTTAGGGTCCCCTAATTTGTATTCCTTCCTTTTTCTCTCTACCCCAACGCGCCATCTCTCCCCCCCCCCCCCCACACACACACTTATTTCAATGTTTGTCTATACAGTTGCGTTTACGTTAATATTATTAACCATTATGGTGAGTATCTTTCACTTGACAACGTGCGATCACTTTTTTACGTTCACTTTTAAAGTTGGCTCTGCCTCATAGACATTTTGTATGGGGCAGTGCATGCTCTACAGGCAGCTAGCCTGCATGTACCCGTCGAACAGTCACCTGGCCTGTATATACCTGCATGCATGTGACCTGCATGGTCACTAGCATAATCACCTGCATAGGTCACCTGCATGCAGGTGACCGCGGTACAACGACAACACACACACACACACACACACACACACACACACACACACACACACACACACACACACACACACACACACACACACACACACACACACACACACACACACACACACACACACACACACACACACACACACACACACACACAACACACACACACACACACACACACACACACACACACACACACGCACGCACGCACGCACGCACACGCACACACACACACACACACACACGCACGCACGCACGCACACGCACACACACACACACACGCACGCACACACGCACACACGCACACGCACGCACGCACACACACACACTTTTCCTTCTCTTTATTCTTTCTTTTGTGTGTCTGTGTGCGCGCGTGTGTCGTTGTACCGTGTTTTCGGTGCTTGTGCACTAATATATATAGAAGTTTCATGCAGTAAGTGTTTGAAGTAAGTGTTCTTTTTTAAACAATTTTTGGACATAGAGGTTGTTTACTGCTCATGTAAAGAAAACAAATTTTGCCTCCCGTTTAAAAATATATTATAACCTTACTACTTATTTGTGTTTACGTCTGTGTTATTTGTTTTTCCAGTTTTTCCTTCCTCTTTTCTTTTCTTCCCTCCTATCCTCCTTTCCTCTGTGTCTTCGTGTTTTCTGTGTATACAAACAACAACAACAACAACAACAACAACAACAACAACAACAACAACAACAACAACAACAACAACAACAACAACAACAACAACAACAACAACAACAACAACAACAACAACAACAACAACAACAACAACAACAACAACAACAACAACAACAACAACAACAACAACAACAACAATTATTATTATTATTATTATTATAATTATTATAATTATTATTATTATTATTACGTTTTCACGCCTAGTCATGCTGAGATTTCTTGAATACTTCAAATCAGGAAGAGCTCAGGCATGAAATTTTAATCACTTGGCCTGGTCATGCACAAGTCAGCAAGCCGATTTTTCTTAATAAACTTAACTAAACGTCTTTTTCAGAAATTCAGTCACTGCCAGTGGAAGTAACCTGATATCTTCAGGAGACCATTAGTGGGAATCACTAGTCATGCATTTTTTGTTTGTAGGTTTATCCTATGCATTACAGTCACGATGTTGGGATAGCCGGCTCTAACGTAGCCTGTCTTCTCATATTTTCTAAATATAAATAAATAAAAACGTATTCGCAAATATGTGTGTGAGCAAGCGTGTAATTTTTACACGTGCACGTTTTATCCATAGGACGAGGGCAAAAAATTCGGAGCGAGCAGTTATCTTTCATTCATTTGCTTGCGTTTTGATTTATTCATGTGCTTTGCATGGGCATGCCACCAACTTGAGATCGTATCATCAATAAGAGGAAAAGGTAACAATAAAATAAAGGACCCCGTATACGAGGTGCTGATCATCGTTTTTTTAAAGCAAGCAGGTTTCATGTTACATTAGCCGAAGTTTGCTCTTGAGCTTGCTTTTTTATTGCTGACTTACTCACAGGAGTTCTGTTTCACAAGTTTCATGGTAGATTGCAGATTTTTTTAGTTTGCCTTCTCTGATGTCACTTAAATTTCGTGAACCGAAACTCTTTTGATTTTCGTCTATATTGAACCCTGTCGCTCAGAGTATCGTTTCCACAATGAACTATAACTAAGCTTGCAAACTCTCCAATCTCCGTCGGAATATACCACTGCCATGGCAGCACTAAATATAAAGTACTGCAGCAGTATAAAATTGGACGGTCTATGAGTTATGTCCCATTCCTGTACATATATGCTCAGTAATGCGTGGTAGATTGCCACTATCCCTCAAGGGGAACTTATATAACGCCTGGTAGAAATCGGTCTATGTCGAGTTCGAAGTAGATTACTGATGATGTGATTTCCAATCTGAAGTCGGCGGAACGTGGCACCTTCTTCTCCGGTAAAGGACCATTTTGTGGTCGAGTTTTTCTGCTTGCTTTTTCTACCATAGTCTAGAACTTGTGGGAGTATTCATGGATTCAAATGCGACATCAATATTTTTTTTTTGTCGTAACCGCTAGTATACTCAATAGCTCCAAATAACCACGTCACGTCGTTACGAATTTGGTCTAA